ACTCTGAGCCCATGTTGCTGGAGCACAGTAAAAGGAAGCAGAAAAATGGTGGCTCTAGAGAACTCAAAAGACTACAGTCCTCAATTTACTATGAAGGGCGCAGCAAGAGGAACAAGGAGGGTGGGAATGATATCCAAATTTCCAAATGATTGATAAAATATTATCATGGAATGTACGGGGGCTAAATGATCATAAGAAGAGGACAATTATCAAAGGATGCATTAACCGATGGAAGCCTTCAGTCATTTGTATACAAGAAACCAAAATGGAATCCATAAATGAAAAAATTATAGGTAGCATTTGGAAGGCAGATAATATTGACTGGAAATACCTTCCGGCCAAGGGCTCTGCTGGCGGCATTCTGATTATGTGGAGAAATGATCGAGTCAATTGTCATGGCATTATTCCAGGTGAGATCACTCTCTCCTGCCTTTTCTCTAATTTATCTAACGAAGATTTTTGGTTTTTCTCCGGAGTTTATTGCAGAGGAAACTGTGAAGAACGCATCAAGCTGGGGAATGAACTAAAACACATTAAAGATTCCTAGGGTGATATGGGCATTGTTGGGGCTGACTTCAACATGGTTTTGAAAAGCTCTGAAAGGTCTAGTGGTTCTACGAACTCTAAGGATATTGATGATTTTAGCACACTTATTGATAGTATGGACCTTAATGATCTTCCGTTAATGGGGGGAAGATGGACCTGGAACAACCTGAGAGAACATTCCTCTTCTTCAAGAATTGACAGGTTTCTTATTACTACAAATCTTCTTGCGATTCTCCCCAATTTAAATCAGAAACTTTTGGCCAGACCAACTTCAGATCACTTTCCCATTTTGTTGGTTTCGGATGGGATTCAATGGGGCCCCGTCCCCTTCAGGATCGATAACAAATGGCTGGAGCTGGACAGTTTCAGAAAAATGGTTGCTGATACTTGGAATAAAATGAGTATTAAGGGCACCAGCAGCTACAGAATTGCCACTAAGCTCAAAAATCTCAAAGCTGTTATAAAAACATGGGTTAAGGAGACTGGAAGGAAGAAAGAAGAAGGCATCAACGACATCCTGGTGGAAATTGATGATCTTGATAAAAAAGATCACTCGATGCTTTCCACTGATGAAAGAGAAAAAAGGAAGAATCTGAAGCTTATGCTGGCCAACAAACTGCACTTAGAAGCCATATCTTGGAAACAAAAAGGTAGAGAAAAATGGATTAAAGATGGAGACAGAAACTTGAAATATTTCTACATGTTGGCTAATCATAGAAGAAGAATCAACTTCGTGGAGGAACTTACCTTCGTTAACAACAGAATTAAAGGTAATGAGGCCCTAAGGAAAAGTACTAAAATCCATTTTCAGAAATCATACACTGAACAGCATGAACAAAGACCGAATTTGGACAACTTATCGTTTAGCAACATCTCTGAGCAAGAAAAGGAGCAGTTAGAAGGAAAATTTACTGAGAATGAAATTTTAGACTGTCTTCGGGAATGTGATGGGGATAAAGCCCCCAGTCCGGATGGGTTCAACTTCAAATTCATCCAAACTTTTTGGGGTACAATAAAAGGTGACATTCTTGAATTTTTGAATGACTTCCACAATCATAATACCTTTGTGAGATCCCTTAACTCCACATTTTTGGTCATGATTCCAAAACATGCCAACCTGGGGAAAATAAATGATTTTCGGCCTATTAGCCTAATTGGGTGTATCTACAAATTATTATCTAAAGTTCTTGCCAAAAGGCTATCCAAAGTGCTTGACAAAATCATTAGTGAATACCAACATGCTTTTGTTTATGGGAGACAAATTTATGATGCCATCTTGACTGCTAATGAGATCGTTGATGAAACCACTAGACACAACAAGAGGGGTGCTCTGTGCAAGCTTGACATGGAAAAAGTTTTTGATCATGTAAACTGGAACTTTATAGATTACATTGCTTCAAAGAATGGGTTTTGGCCAGAAATGGAGAAGCTGGATAAGATTCTGCATCACAACCTCCAGTTTCGCGGTTATGGTTAATGGTGGACCTTCCTCATTTTTTACTGCTTCTAGAGGTATGAGGCAGGGGGACCCTCTTTCTCCTCTCCTCTTCATCATAGTTATGGAGGCCTTACACAAACTTATCGAGAAAGCTAAAGAATTGCAGTTGCTCAAAGGCGTTACCATTGGCATTAGGAACAAAACAATTGAAATATCTCACCTATTCTTTGCCAATGACACTCTTATTTTTTGTCAACCGGAGATCCACTCACTCATTTTTTTGTGAAACATTTTATCAAGTTTTCAAGCCGTCTATGGTTTAAAAATCAATCTCCACAAGTCTGCAATGGTTATTTTGGGTGCTGGTGATGATAATGTTGATTCCCTTAAGGATATTCTCAGGTGTAGACTGTCACTTCTACCTGTCACCTATCTCGGTGTTCCATTGGGTGCAAAACACAAAGACAGCAAAATATGGGACCCAGTAATTGACATGATTCAGAACAGATTGGCCACTTGGAAAAAGAAATTTTTATCATAAGGGGGCAGACTAACTCTCATCAAAAGCACTCTTTCCAACTTGCCTATCTATCAACTCTCAGTACTCAATATGCCTTCCAAGGTGGTAAAAAAGATTGAATCAATTCAATGCAACTTCCTTTGGGGAGATGTAGACAATGACAAGAAAAAATATCACCTGGTCAGTTGGGGTTGCGATCTCTCATTGATTTAAATAAAGCATTTCTTAGAAAATGGATTTGGAGATATTGGAATGACAAAAAAAGTCTCTAGAAAAAAGTTATTGAGTGTAAATGGGTTTGCTGGTAATCAAAAGAATTTTCCACATTAAAAAACACATCTATGGCAGAAGTCTTTGGAGAAATATCATGAACATCAGCTCGACTTTCTTTGAGTGTACTGAATGGATTATTGGCAAAGGTGGCAAAATCCATTTCTGGTTTGACACATGGTGCATATCGGAGGCTTTCAATGATAGATTTCCACAGATTTATGCCATCTCCAAATTCAAGATTGCACTAGTGGAGGAGGTTGTCCCTTCGGATAGTCCTAATACATGGAACATTACTGTTTCGAGAAACCTTCAGGATTGGGAAATCGAAGAGTATGAAACTTTACTTCTCTGTTTGTCGCACGTACAAATTAAAAATCATGGTGATAAGCTGCGATGGAAACACAAGAAGAACGACAACTTCACTGTTAGCTCCTTCTATGACTTCTTGGATAGCCGGATTTACAGAACTCATAGGAAGTTTCCAGCTAAAATCATCTGGAAATCTGGTGCTCCACCTAGAATCCCTTTCTTCGCTTAGGAGGCTGCTAAAGAAAAAATTCCTACTCTGGATAATCTTATGAGAAGAGGAATTCCTATTGCAAATAGATGCTCTCTCTGTAAAATGGGTCCTGAATCGTGTAATCATCTTCTAAGTTGGTGTCCTTTTTTCCTACAATCTTTGGGCGATGATTCTTGGCCTGCTGGGGCTTTACTGGGTTATGGCAAAAAGAGTATTTGGGGAACTTCTTGCTTGGGAAGGTCTTAGCAAAAGAAACAAGCTCTTCAAACTCATTCCACTTACCGTTTTCTAGGTCATTTGGAAGGAAAGAAACAAGCATGCTTGACAGAAAAGAATTAGATTTCAATACATTAAAAGACAATTGGTTTCACTATTTTGGCTCTACCACACTTGAGCATGATATTGATAGTAATATGGATTTTGCTTCCATTGTAAATATACTCGTCGATATGTAAATATATACATAGGCGGTGCTCCCTTGGCACTTTTCATCAATACATTTCTATACTTTTCTTTCAAACAAAAAAAAAAAAAAAGAATATAGAATGCATGA